AGCGGGCGTCCCGCCGCGGGTGCTCCGCGAGGCCGGCGGAGGACGGGGATGCCTTAGGAGCCCCCGAGCCCGCAGCGGGCGCCTGCGGCTCCGGGCCGTCGCGGCAGCGGGGACAGTCCTGTAAGGAAGGCGCCGCGCACGGCACAGTGAACGCAGAGTCCCGGGGGGCGCCGAGGCCGCTCTGCGCCTCCTGGAGACGGCCGCGCCCAGGGTGCTGCCATGCAGGGCGCACGCCGCGCGCCCCCGGCCTCCGCCCGCTCCGCCGCTTGGCTCCTGCCGCTGCTGCTGGCGGCCGTGCTGGCGACGCGGGCGCGGGCCAGCGGCGAGTACTGCCACGGCTGGCTGGACGCGCAGGGCGTCTGGCGCATCGGCTTCCAGTGCCCCGAGCGCTTCGACGGCGGCGATGCCACCATCTGCTGCGGCAGCTGCGCGCTGCGCTACTGCTGCTCTAGCGCCGAGGCGCGCTTGGACCAGGGCGGCTGCGACAACGACCGCCAGCAGGGCGCGAGCGAGCCTGGCCGGGCGGACAAAGACGGCCCCGACGGCTCGGCAGGTAGGGCGGCCCGGGGCGCAGGGCGGAGGAGGAGGACGGTTGGCTTTGTTTGGGCAGCACGGGCCGGGGAGGCTGGAGAGGAACAAGAAATTGGAGCGCCGAGATTTCAGGAAAGGGCCTCTGGCCGGAAGGCGGAGCTGTGTTCTTTCCCACCCGCTAATTTGTGCTAAGTGGGGTACCAGTGCGCCGCCCTGGGCCTCAGTTTCCCCTCAGTTTCGGATCGCTAAAGGGTGGCGTGCCTTGGATTTCCCAAAGAAAAATCACACGCTAAGGCATTGCGAGGCACAGACAGCTCCCAGATTTCCTCTGTCTAGGACCCCCTCCCCTGCTGTGTCCTCTGCCTCCACAGGACTTAATTTGTTCGGGATACCCGGAAGCAGCGTGAGGGGGAAACTTCTCCGAATGCTGCTCAGAAGGCGGGCAGCTCCTGGGGGGCTCTCCGGCGTGTGGGCGTGCGATGGACCTTGCCCGACCCCTGGGGATTCAACCCCACCTGGCCGCGCGGGCTGCCTCTCCCCCTGCGTAGGGTTTTCGTACTGTGCCCCTCACCAGGTTAGTGTAGGTGTGACCTCCGAGCTGTGCCCAGCCTTGCTCTTTGCGGCTTTGACTTCGTTAGTTGCATATTTTTAAAGTGTGAAAGCTACAGTTGGAAAATAAACTCGTGAAAAAAATTGCTAGGCTGTACTTCCCCCACTCCTCAGAAGCTCGCTCAGACTGCCTCGACTGGAGAGTCTACACCGTGTGTGTGTGGCGGGGGAGGAGTTGGTGGGTGAGGAGAGGTGGAGATAAAATGCAAGTCTGCCCCAGAGGGAGTCCTGCTGCTGTTCACGTGAAGTAGATGACTTTTCCAGCACCTTGAGCCCAGGCTGGGAGCTGTCTGAGCTTGGGCACCTCGTGCTGTCTCTTTCTGGAACTGTCTGTGCGGCCTGGTAAGAGACGGTACTTTTCAGCGCTCTATTAGCGTGGTGTTCCCATTGTTCGGCTGCTGTGAATCTGGAGGGAGGAGAACGCGGTAGTTTTAGTACAGGTGCCGTCTTAAGCTGCACACTCAGCCTTGCAGAGCGTGTGGCCTCTGGACACATCAGCCAAAGCCCCAACTGCTGCAATCAGGTGTCTGCTAAGTCGGGCTCACTAGCGATCTCTTAAAAAGTTGGGATGTCTTTGGACAAACCAATAGGCAGCACACTTACGCCGCTTGTGTTGTGCGTGGGTGCCTTCTGCATTCTGCTTTTAAACCCTTTCCCTTAAAAATCCTTTCACGCGGCTTCTGCAGGCCGAAGACAGCATGCCTAATTAGGCCTGCAGGCTGGGGGTGAGGCTTATGGTAGCGCCGAATTCTTTACTCCTGTGTAGTTATTTACACTTCCAATTAAAAATCCTGGAAAGAGAACAGTAATTTCTTCCCTGTGCTCATTATGCAGACTGAGGCAGGGGTTAGCTAGTTTCTGCCATCGTGTCAGGGGTAAAACATTTTTTCTTGCTATTATTTGTTTACCTCTTAATTACACATTGGGGGCTGATCTTAATTTAGAGAATGAAGTACTTATAGCCTGTGTAGGAAAAAGCCAGCATCGTGGCCGCAGTCCTCCCTAGTTAGCCTGTAGGAGTAGGATAATTAGAGTAGGGGTGCTGCGGACCTAGCAGGTTCTACCTGCCAATGGGACACTACGTATATAGCACTGGTTCTGGTTTGCAGCAAAACTCAAGGTGCTCTTCTGTTGTCAGCCTTTTGTTAAGAATGTACTTCTAAAGTACATTTTACTTACAAGGCGCTGTTTCTCCGGGCTTGTAAAATCTCGCACTGGGGGAACACAGTCAAAGGAGCATAATTAAGAAAGACAGTCGGTATCTGCACCTCTAACCTCAAGGGATGGGCTCCTTCCCGAAATGCTGTCCCATCTGGCTGTGGGTCAGCGCTGGGCCAGCAAGACTCAGCATGCCCCTGTCCGCATGGATTTGCCAGTCACATAGTCTCAGAGGGCTGGCTGCGGCTCGGCGGTACTGTCTCGCATGCCCAAAGTCTGGGTTTCATCTGCAATACCAAGAAAAAAAAAAATCAGGGACTTGCGGAAGACACCAGAAAACATGACAGGTTCTCGACACAAGGTGGGATTTCAGAGCAGTGACTACCCTGAAGGCCCTTGTATATATATTCTGAAGCTTTGTGGTGACATCCTATGGCTCCCAAAGTGTGTGTAAGAAAATAATTTAAAAGTGGAGTTCAGGACTGGCGTTAGTAAAAGGTCTTTATATGTGCGTTTTATGGTTTTCTGTGTCAGAGTAAACCCTGCCTGCTAGGTATGATGACCATGCCTTCTGCACTACGGACTTTCCTATGTGGTTCTGCTCACACGGCCTTGGGCACACCCACACTGTCAGCCACCCAGGCCTTCCCTGCATGCCCTCCTGGCCCTTGTAGGCCACTCCTTCACGAAGCAAGTGTCCTGTTGACGCTTGTGCTCAGGATGCCTTCCCATGGCTGTGTCTGCCTCACGTTCCCATTGCCCAGTACGCTGTGTCCAAGAACTGCCCCATGGCTAGGCAAGAAGGTGTAAGAGTTTTTGCGTTATGTATTTATTTTTTGATGGACACAGAGTAATTACACATATTTATGGATTCTGATGTGAAGATTTGATGGATATATCAATGGGGTAATGATCAGTACAAGGTCATTAGCATATTCATTGCCTTCAATTTGTGTCATTTCTTTATGGTGAGTGCTACATTCTTAACCAGAACTTCCTGCTCCTGGCTAGTTGTAAGTTTGTACCCAGTGACCTGCCTCTTCCTATCCCTTCCTGCCTGCTGCTGTCCCAGGCTTGGGAAGCCACTACTCTACTCTCAACTTCTGTGAAACCAACTTTTTAGATTTGCGGAGAGTTTTTATTTTTTCTCCTCTCTTGATCTCCTGTGCCTTATCCTCTTGTAAGAAATTGTAGCATCTCAGTCTTCGAGTTAAATTATTGATTTCTCTGCCCATTAAAAAAAGAACTTGCTTAAAAATGGCAAAGGAAAAATTTTCAAGCGATATAAAAGACATACTGGGGAAAAAATCTAAGTCATTTAAACTCACTGTTACTCTGCAGATGCTGTAAGCATTGTAGGAAGGCTAGAACCATAGCAGTTTTAACACAGTAAGCCCATATTTTGCCAGAACTCTTGTGTTTGTCTGTCATTGCTGTAGGTGAATGTAATGGTAAGTATGAACAGTTTAGCTTCTGTGGACCCATCGGCCAGAGGGTCTTGGGCCTTTCTAAGCATTCAGTAAAGCCTGGTGCATCTTCTGCACTGTTAACGTGAGCAGGCCAGCCCAGCCTGGTCCAGCGCTTCCGGGTCTCAGTGTTGCTTGTTTACCCCGTGCTACTGCCCGTCACTGTTTTGTTCTTAGAGTAGCTCATGATGCCGTGTTTCTGCCCTTCTCTGCAGTTCCCATCTATGTGCCATTCCTCATCGTTGGCTCGGTGTTTGTCGCCTTTATCATCCTGGGCTCCCTCGTGGCGGCTTGCTGTTGCAGATGCCTCCGGCCAAAGCAGGAGCCCCAGCAGAGCCGAGCCCCGGGGGGCACCCGCTTGATGGAGACCATCCCCATGATCCCCAGTGCCAGCACTTCCCGGGGCTCCTCCTCCCGCCAGTCCAGCACAGCTGCCAGTTCCAGCTCCAGCGCCAACTCGGGGGCCCGGGCACCCCCAACGAGGTCACAGACCAACTGTTGCTTGCCCGAGGGGACCATGAACAATGTGTATGTCAACATGCCCACCAATTTCTCCGTGCTGAACTGTCAGCAGGCCACCCAGATCGTGCCGCATCAAGGCCAGTACCTGCATCCTCCGTATGTGGGGTACCCGGTGCAGCCCGACTCTGTGCCCATGACGCCAGTGCCTCCTTTCATCGAGCCCCTGCAGCCTGGCTACAGGCAGATCCAGCCCTCTTTCCCCCACACCGCCAGCGAGCAGAAGATGTATCCCGCAGTGACAGTATAGCTCCCGGTCACTGGACGGGGAGAACTGGGCGGGGTTCCTGAGGTGGAATTCTGCCGCTGTTGCTGGCGTTCACGGCGCATTTCTTTCGGATGGCTTCATTTGCCCCTAAGCTGTATGAAAACATCTCTGAATTAGCATTTCTGGGTATGTTTCATTCAGTGTATCACTGATTCAAGATGCAAAACAGTATCTGCCGGAGCTGCTGCCTGCATTGTTGTGGAATAGGTGCAGATGCTTGAGCCTTTAAGTGCCCTTGAGATGTGTTGTCAGAATTTTATAAACTGATAGATTAAGGGATTTTATTATGTCATTATTATTATTATTTTTTGTTTTTCCTATACAAGAGTGGAAACACCTGCTAACTCCCCTTTTCCTGGGCCACTTTTAAAAAAATAAGCATATGAGGTTGAAGGGAAAATGTAAATAACACAATTATGAAAAGAAACCCTTTCGAACTCTGTGAGATAAGTCATCAGTCTCAGTGTTCCAAGGTACATTTTAGCTTTGCTGTAAAAAAGATTTATATATATGTCTATTTTTGTGCTTTTGGGGGGCCTATTTTGTGCTTTTTTTTAAACCCCATGTAGGGATCTTACTACAAAATGATTTTCTACATTAAAAAGAGACTGAAGGAAACTGGATAGTTAGTGAATATGGATATTTCAGGACTCTGGGATTATTTTAATCTTGAAATACCTTCTTGATAGTATCTTAGTATCCTGACTTTACAGCGACATTGGCGAGGTAATCAGATCTTTTACACTGAAATCATAAGGTATCTCTTGTACTTGTCTGAGTTACCTGTGATTTTGCCATGTGGTGTGACTTAGCATTTTGTTCTGTTGGCTTTTAGATCTCTTGCCCGTTATAGTGCCAATGACAGTTATTTACTGTACTTTTAAATGAAGGTCAGTATTTCTTCCTGGATCTGACAAGACACTTTATAAAAATTCAAAGACATATGTTATAAAGGTACTTAGTATAGCTCCTCAGCCATAATCTGAGACATGGGGTGAAACTTAAACCTCAGGCATGAATTACTTTGTAAATCATTTTTTTAATACTCATTATCAAAGGGGCTTAGTTTTTCAGGCAGTAGTGACTATTAAGTCAAGAGAAAAGTAGTTCAAAGAGATACTGCCCAATGTTCTGAATTACCAAACTCAAGTGAATTTATTTGTGTATTGTTTACTTACAGAAAATGTTTAAGTATGTGCAGGTAAATTTCTACCTGCTAGCAAAACCAAGATTTGTAGTTAAACAAATCATTGTAAGGTATGGTCTTTCACACATTTATATCTTTATCTATCTATCACCTATTCTATCATCTATCGTCTGTCTCATGACTGAACAATATTAAGCCATTGTTGGCAAATGGTATCCAATGAAGATAATCAAATTTTTAATAACCAAAGGTAGGGGAGAATCATTTTACTTTTTAATAAATATTTTATGGTGTGAATTCCTAGGGGAGTTGGTTTTTTAAGCAATTCCATTGTATTTGGTAATTTTTTCAGGTGGTCAAGTAAATCTGCTAGGGAAGCACAATTACTAAAAATCAAAAATACTTCTTAGAGCCAAGAGCCTACTGCAGAAAGTTGTCAGTTCCTAGGAAGTTCAGCTATGTGTTCTCTGGGTCAATGACTGTTATTTTTTATTCTACAGAAAATGTGAACACAAAAGAGACAGTATTCTCTATTCTACTTTGGATGGAGGGGTCCTGCTCACCTAAGGAAGTAAAATTTGTAGCACCTTGGAACTGAAAGAGACCTTAGCAATCACCTACCCTAGCACTTGACAGTCTTTTTCTGTGATGCCCCAGAGTAGATAACTAGGCTTTTAGCAGCTAGCTATTCAGCTGCGCAAGTATCACAGAAATGGCTAGATGATCAAGGAAGTCTGTGTTCCAATAAACGTTACTGATAAACACTGAAATTTGAATTTCACATAATTTTCACATGTCACAAAGTATTATTTTAACTTTTCCCCAAACCATTCCAAAAGGTGAATCCCACACGAAGCTCTAAGCTGTACAGAACCAAGTGGTAAGTAGGACTTGGCCCGAAGCTCTTGGCTGGACCCTGCCCTGTGCCAGCTCCTCCTCCCAGCAGGAGGCACCTCTGTGGTATCCTGGCAGCCTTTTCAAAGCAGAGGGAGTGCTTGCTGCTCTTGCTTGAAATCATCTAATTCTTCCTTCTTTTGCGAAATGCTAATTAAAAGTGCCACAATTAAACTAAAAGTATATTTTAACAAATGAAATGAGATTTCCCACTTGTTGAATACTGTTTGGTCTTTCCAGACATACAACATCATTAGAGACAGCCTCTGAACTTTCGTGTTTTGGTAAGAACTGGAGAAATCTGGCAAAATAGAAGGTCAAATACCTGGTTGAAGTGTACCTTCTTTCCCATGAAATACAAGAAATATGATCCTATAAGATGTAATTAGCACTCAGTAGAAATATTTCACAGTGTGTTGAAAAAAACAGCATTTACAGATGAAGAAGTAGTTTGTTACTATACATTTTCTACAGTATCTAAACCACTAGGGTTTATGATGGTTCTTGAGGACTCTCTCCCTAGTTTTGTTGTTGTTGTTGTTTGTTCTGAGGCAGCATCTTGCTATGTAGATGTCCTTGAGCTCACTTAAGTACCCCAGGCTGGACTTGAACTCAAGGCGATCCTCCTGCCTCAGCCTCCCGAGTGCTGGGATTACAGGCCTGTGCCATCACATCCGGCTTCCCTCCCTGATTTTAGGAGAGAAAATTAGGCCTTTGATTACAAGGAAGAAGAAACTAACTTTATGTCTACTGAAGAGTGGAAATTACGTATTTCCTACCATTGCAGCTGCTGCTGCAGGAAAAAGTTAAAATATATCAGTATCAGTCTGGGGGGTGTAGCTCAGTGGTAGAGAATTTGCTAAAAATGCACAAGAATCAACCAGCCAATCAATCCCCAGCATAAATAAATAGAGATCCAAAGTGACTACAACACCAGTAAGACAGAAATGGTTTCGTAATTTACTCTGTAATGCACATCTTCCTGTAGCCTCTCATTCAGTTCCCAGAAGGTTGACACATGCTATAGCTCATCTACTAAATTTACCTGGACCTCATTGGTTTGAGATTGCACAGTTCTCTCTCACGAGTTGTGCCACCCATGATTCCCTCTTACTGTTCCAAATCAGCACCTGTGTGTCCCTCAGAAGTGCTTCTCGAGGAAGACAGGAAGGTTAGCACTTGGTCCATGGGGACAGCCAGGGAAATGCTCACAAATGGACCGAACTCAGGAGAAAGTCTGCGTGGTGTTCAAAGATGAGATAGGAATTTAGAGTAAGATCAGAATGGCATGAAAATAGGCAGAATGTGTCTCACTGCAGTATCCAGGGCAGATGTCCAAGTAGCCTGTGCATGGGAGAGGTTGCCAGAATCTGAGAACAAGAGTGACAGTGGGCAGACAGTGTACCCTGTCCATCATTAGGGTAGAAGGCAGGCATCCTGGGCTCCTGCCACCCTACAAAAGACATGGAGTGGGTGGCAGCACTGGCACTAAAAACATAGCATTGTGCCACTCCCTGGGACATACCGGAGAAAAGACAGGGAGACGTGAGTGTTGGCTGGGCCTGGCCTCAGGGAAGCCGCATCTTCGAGCTCAACTTCTAGAGTACCTTTTATGTTGAAATGGGCAGCTCAAATTTTATAGGGAGAAACGAAGCATGCCCACACACAAGAACACTTTCCTCAGTCCTCATCTCCCACCTTAACCCTTCTGTAGAAGGTAGAGGTGCAAGCCTTAGGGTTCCCTTGCCTGGCCCAGGACATCAAGCAGCAGTTCATTGATTCTGAGATTTTTTCTTAATGAATTGCAAACAAATATTACTGTGGTTCCACTTATTTCTAGGAGTTAAGTGAATGACAAAGAGGAATTATGAACTCTTTCCCTTAAAAAAAAATTACAGCACTAAAGTTGATGGATGTTTTAATGTGTTGATTGCTATTGCTGTTCTTTGCCCTCTACCCTAGAAAAATCCTCAGTTCTGAGTAGGGATTGGCTCGGAGAGTCATTTTTGCCATCCAGGGTTCCAGCTTCAGAATATCTTCAACATGTGTACTCGTAACTGAAGGTCACAGATTCATATCAAGAACGAGACATTAAAAGTTAAGGCCTTCAAACAAAAAAACCTAAATGAAAGATGGTGGAGGGGTAAAAAGTTTATGATGGAGCTTTGAGACTAATTTTAAACATAATTCCAACTATCTTGAAGTGTAGGTCGTTTAGAAAATCATACCTCACTCACTATGTCATTTACTCAGGAGACTGAACAGCTGTAGAACACTGATTGTCATCTGCAACGTGTGTATAAAATTGGCACATGTGGGTGTACACGTGTGTGTGAAATGATCACAGGAAAATTTAAAGCAGAGCTAACTTACTCTATGAAGCACCCAGCCGAGACTCGGTGTGTTTGTCAGCAGAGCTCAGCACGGCTTGGCTCTCATGTGCTGTCTCAAACTTCCTTCCGGATGATGGGACCCCAGGCAGAACTCACTCTACCTGCCTGGTAACATCTGACGTCTCTGAACAGAGGCATCTCTATTAAAGGGGATTGATCACACCCATCTCCCGAGACTGGGGTGGTGACGAAAGGTACCACACAGCACAGTGCCAGTGCATCCAGTGGGTTTTATAATGAACACACAGCTTCTTTTTAGATATTTCAGTCTGTTCGATATACAGAAGTATATAAATTTATGTTGAAAAAATATGTCAAATATGGAGAGATCTAGAGAACAGTGTGGGAGGTTTTTCTTATTTTTGTTTTAATAACAAGTCAATGATGTTTCATTTTACCTGGGTTAGTCTTAATTCCTTGTGTTTTTAGGTTGTCGAGGAGACGTGTACAGAATTGGCTTTCTCTATGCCCTGAATCAACATCGGGTCAGGTGGCTACATCGTGTTTCTCTGCACGTGGCTTGGTAAATCCACAGGGTTTTTTGCAGCCCTGTGCGCCTGTCAGGCCTGGCAGTTCCTCCAGAGCCTCCTAACCTGCTGCTGGTGTCCTCCTGGCTCATCAAGGCGCAGCCAGGAGCATGACCAAGGGCTGGGCTATTGCTCAGCGGTAGAGTGCTTGCCTACCCTGTACATGGCCCTGGGTTCCACCCCAGCATCTCACATATACGCACATGGTCAATATAACACAAGATATGATTGACAAATACAATGAATGTTTACATCTAAACGTTTACTATGAGAGGAGACATTGCCATTTACCTCTCAAAACACGTGCCCTGGTTTTGAACACAGTTATTCCACCCTTCTGTCACTCTCTGCAGCAGTTCTGGAAGTCCTCTTTTGGGAGGGTCTCTACCTGTGCCGTGATGGCTGCCAGCATGTCCCAAATTGATTCAAAATATTTACTTTTCACGGTTATTTTGACTTTGGGGAAGAGCCGGAAGTTATGCGGCACCAGATCTGATGAGTGAAGTTGATGAGGACACACCGGGATGTTTTCACAAGCCTGCCTTTCCATTGGCTGGTGCTTGGTAACAGCACCCACCGCTCTGTTTTTGATGATATCTCACAAAGAGACATAAAGGACTTCTGGGACCGGTTCAGAAAGTGGCAAGAACGGTAGGTTGAGAGCGTTTGAACCATGGGGGAGTATTCTGAGGGGCATTAGTGGCAAGGTGTCTTTCACCATCATTTTTAGAAATTTAATATTCATCATACATTTTGATCATACTTTACATATTACCAGATAAGTTTAATTAATTTTATTTTTTGACTGACACTGAATCATTTTATTGAAATTTTCTGCCTGATTCATGACAACCTACACATAATGTCTAGCTCGATAAAACATCACTCAGATCGAGAGATAGGAAAAATGCAGTTGGAAGCTCCCTTGGAAGGCAAGTGCTCTGCTTGCAGAGATTTGCTGTCTCTGGCTTTGAGCTCTTGTGTCTGGCTTTCCACATTATGGCTATTGTTGGATGGACTGTTCTTTCCGTTGATGTGTAGCATCCTACTCTGGATATATATTAATTATCTGCTGTACTGGTCATGAGCATTTGGGTTATTTTCAGTTTTGTACTGTCAGGAACTTTTTTTTCTTTTCTTTTCTTTTTCCAGTACTGGGAATCGAACTCATGACCTTGTGCTTGCCAGGCAGGCGCTGTGCCACTTAGCTAAATCCCCAGCCCCCATTTTTTTTAACCTCCCTCCTGGTGAGCCTAAGTGCTCAGTTCTCTCAGGTGGGATTTCAAGAGTGGAACTGTCATCACAGGATGTAGGTATGTTTGCCTGAGTAGATATGGCCATAGTCACACTGGTTGTCTTAACAAAGAAAGTCTGTATAAGAAATTGGTTTGAACCAGGTGTGAGGGCATCAGCTATTTGGGAGGCTGAGGCAGGAGGATGCTTTGAGCCCAGGACAAAACTGTAAGTCTCTCAAAAGAGTTGGTTAAGTAAGTTTTTTAACTGAAACAGCAAGAGGTGACAGGAAGGGGATGCACAGTAGCTGCCATAAGCTTTTACTACCCCTTGGGACTGGGCACAAGGGGAAGAGGTTGAGGTACTAGAATCTGGACGCTTGGAGAAGCAGCCCTGCCATCCAGCTGGTGGTGCTGCCATGCCGGGGGACATGGTGAGGGTGGCTCTTGGGGTGCAATCAAAACAACAAAACAACAACAAAGCAAAGCTAGACTGGTCCAAGGGCTGTGGAGTGAATGCTGTGACTGGACACACTCCCACTGACATGCCTGTCCCAGTGTCACAAAACCCAGTGTGTGTGGAAAGGGGGCTGGGAATGGCCACACTTTAGGGTGGACTATGCCTTGCGGAGTGAACAGATCTAGCGACTGTCCTCAGCTTCCTGACACGTTGCAGATGTATGGATCACCTTGCTGTCAGCGTGTATAAAGTCAGTGACAGAATGTAAAGTACTTTGTATGTTCGCTGTAATGCCCACACAAGAGTTGAGCCCTGCATCAGAACTGGGCTTAGCAACACCTCCCTGGGCAGCTGTGCTGTGGGGACTGGCAGGCATCTTTTTCAAGGTCCACCTTAGAAGGAATCTCTCTGGAGGCAAAGTCAGCTTGGGAGAATGTGTGTTGTATTCAACTCTCTCTTCTATCTGGCAAATTTGTGACAACTCTGGAGACTTCTCTGCGGTTTACTTGGTTAAAGGGACTCACAGTCAGCCCTCTGTGGGGGCGGGCAGTTGTGTGACGGAGTGAGGACCAGCTCCACAGTGTCTGCCAGCGTAGCTTTCTCCTCATGGGGCTTTGCTTACGTACTGCTGTCCAGGGGCTCTGCATTTAGGTAAGCGATGGGGTTTTCTTGGCTGAGTTGAAACTATCTTTAAAACGTCACTTAAAGCCAAGCGTGGTGACACATGCCTGTAATCCTAGCACTCTGGAGTCCAAGGCGGGGGGATTGCAAGTTTGAGCTTAGCCTGGTCAATTCAGTAACTTAGTGAGACTGTCTCAAAATAAAAGATGCAAAGGCTGCAGAAGCAGCTCAAGGGGAAGGCCTTGGTTTCAGTCCCCGGCATAAAAACAAAGAAAAAACCTTGGCCGCACTAAGTATAGTGGCGCATGCCTCTAATCCCAGCTACCCGAGAAGCTGAGGCAAAAGGATCACAGGTTCAAAGATAGCCTGGGCTACTTAAGAGAAACTCTCTCTCAAAGTAAAACAAGGCTAGGGCTTTAGCTCAGTGGTAGAACATTTGCCTAGCATGTGCAAGGCCCTCGGTTTAATCCCTAGTACCACAAAACAAAAGACTCATCTAGTCCCACTCTGGAAGTCTTTTTTTTGTCCCTCTGTGATACAGTTTGGGTCTGAAATGTCCCCTAAGTCTACGTGTTGAAGGCTGAGTCCTCAGTTTGGTGCTATTCTGAGGTGGTGGAGACTTTAAGAGGTGGAACCTAGTGGCAGGATGCTAGGTTACTGGGGATGTGTTCTCCAAGGAGATATCAGGACCCTGCCCTTCCTCTTCCTGTCTCTTGTGTTCCGCCAGGAGGTGATGAGGTGAGTGGTTGGCTTTGCCATGTGCTCCCCGCCATGATGCATTGCTTTGCCACAGGCCCAAAAGCAACAAGACTTCCTAAACGTAGACTGAACCCTCTGAAACCGTGAACCAAAACAGGTATTTCCTCTTTACAAGTTGATTGCCTCAGGGGTTTGTTACAGTGACAGAAGGCTGACTCACACACTTGGTTTCCATGTTAGGCAGCAACCCTTGAAAATCAGGGGCCTAGAAGGAGCAGCAGCATGAATGCAGGTCAGTCTAGCCTCTGCTTCTTGACATCACTCCTCTGTATTTCTCATTCCCACAGCACTACTCGTGTCCTTACACCAGCTGCCCTGTACCGTATCTACTTCAGTACATGTCCCCATTAGACAGTGCACTCTTTGAAGGTAGAAATGCACACTTCTTCATGCCTAAATGGCTCCTTGGCCTCTAGTACCTGCAGGAAGACAGTATACTCACCACTAATATTTATGGGGACAGGAAAATATCTGGAAATTAGAGTATTAACAATTTCAAAATAAATGTCTCCTGGGCTAAAGCTAATACTGCACTTATGTAAACACAGCATCCAGTATCCAGTAGGCATTGTGTAGGTCAGAGCGCAGGCCTTTCTTTGAGTACCAAAGTTTTCAAGCTAGGTATACTGGCCACTCCCTCCATTAAAAGCCATTTGGAAAGCAATGAGGCCAACCTTTCAGAGGGTTGGGTCTGCAGAACCTTTATTGTTTGTGGTACCACTGAGGGTCTCGTGCATGACAGGTTCCACCCCTGCGCTATACCACCTCCCCAAGAAGAAAAGCTTTTAATCACACAGAGTTTAATACATCCACTGCAACTGTTGGGAAAATTGAGGAAAAGCCAGGAAGCCCTTTTCTGCAATTAATTTGGAATTTCAAATCAGAACATGTTTGTTTTTTAGAGTGTGTGTGGGAGAAATGCTAGCAGTGCAAAACTTTGTAAGTAGGTCTAATAACAAGAGTATAGAAACTGCTTCGACAGAACATTCCAGGTCAAGGCTCAGGCCAAGGCTGTGGCTCTGAGCAACACCTGTGCTCTGTGTCTTTAAATATCGATCACACTGAAACCAGGCATGGTGGCCTATGTCTATAATCACAACACTCTGGGAGGCTGAGGCAGGAGGCTAGCAAGTCTGAGTCCAGCCTGGGCAATTCAGGGCTAACCTGTCTCAAAAAATAAAACATACAAAAGCACTGGGGTGTAATTTAATTTTAAAGGCCTTGGGTCCAATCCTCTGCACCTCAAAACAAGACACAAAATAAACAAACAAAAACATATCCCATCACTTGGGAATCCCAAGTCAAGGGCAGTTAATTGTAGCTGAAGATGCCAATTTTCAAGAATATTAAAAATGTTTTTGGACATGTAGCCTACTTTTAATATATTAAAGCTTAATGTTTGTGAGCTGGACCAGACGTGCTTTTTTTGGTTCTGAAGATTGAACCCAGGGACTTCACACTGACCTGCATCCCCAGCACCTTTTAATATTTAATTTTGAAACAGAGTCTTTCTCATTTGCCGAGTTGCCCACGACGGGCTCAAAGTTGCCACCCTCCTGCCTCAGCCTCCCAGAGTGTTGAGATTATATACTGCCACACCCAGCTTGGACTATATGTATTTGATGCGCATAGCTTTGGTAGGTGAATGGAATGGACTCCTCTGGTAATACAGGTTGAATATATCCCTTAACTGAAATGCTTGGGACTAGAAGTGTGCCAGATTTCAGATCTTTTTGGAGTTGGGGATCCATGCACATAATGAGTTCTTTTGATGATGGGACCGAAGTCTAAACACAAATGCAGTGACCGAGGGAAGGAGGTCTGCACATGAGTCTTTCCTTTTATTAGGCAAACTCAAACTCGGTGTGGCCTCCTGGACCCTCTTCTCATGCACAATGCTGGCCCAGGAGCACACAGCTCAAGTTCATCTGCAAAACAGACACACACACACACACACACACACACACACACACACACACACACACACACCCCAGTGCCCCTTGCCACAAGGCCCACAGCTCTGGAGCTCCAAGGAGTCTGTACCTGCTGACAAAACTCTGCGTGATAGTTCCAAGACCCCATGGCAGTAACTGCTTATTAGTGGAAAAGAAAATTCCAGAATAAAACACAGCCCCATCATTTACCTTAGCAAAAGATTTATTTGAAACAGGTTTGTGCAGACATATACCAGTTGACAGGACTGATCAAAGCTACAAATCACTAAATTCTCCAAACACCTTTAAACGTACAAGGAGATGCCCTACATTTGTATTCACTCCAGGAGGGAACCGTAGCGCCGCACAACCAGAGGATATTAATAGATTGGGAAAACGGTTACACTTCTAGAGGGAGAGAACAAAAAACCCCGCTAGCCTTGGAAGCGCTCACTGCTCTGCTGGGAGCCAATTAAGCATGCCCCTGCAGCGTGTTCCCTCTGCATAACCAGACTGAAACCTCTGCATCGCACACAATGTTTCAGCAATCCCAGCTTAGCCGTGACAGGAGACAGGAGAGCACATGGCTCTGCGTGTGTGACAGACACCACAAAGACGCTGCATCTGAACACGGCGATGCAGTGACGTCAGGCGTGCAGGAACGAGGGGCTCAGCTGCAGCTGGCCGCACTGCTGTGGCTGCCTGCGTTGCCCTGGAGAGTGAGGCCCAGAGGGAAGCAGCCTGGTACATCTTTGGACGTGGCCACCTCTGGCCACGGGGGAGAAGGGGCAGGGGAGGAGAAAGAGCAGCTTTCATCCTTACATGTGTGTTTTAGTGAAAAACCAAGTGAGTCTTTACTGGTGTTTGCGTGCATGTGTGTGTGCGTGCATGTGTGTGGTGCTGGGGACCAAACCCTCTGCATGTTTCAGGCAAGAGCCCAGGCTTCCCCCGCCGTCCGCGACCCAAAGGGGATCTTTAAAAAATTAACACAGAGCAATTGTACATATTTATAAGGGATGGTGCAAGGATCTTGTTGGAAGGAGAGACTTACAACTAGGAGGGTTTCTTTTTTCTGCGGTTTTCTGTTTACTGATTCACCTGTAACTGCACCGAGCTATTTCTAGGACATCGCTGGATCCGTTCCCTTGGCAGGTGGGTCCACAGCCTGCTCTTTAGTCTTTCTGCCTTCCGGGGGGTTTTCCTCCTGCACAGAGGAGCTCACCTGTACTAGGGCCCTGAGAAACTCTCTTGACCCCTAAGCTTCCTGGGCAGGGTTATTTGGATAGTGCCATTATTTCAACTTTCTTCTTCCAATTTCTGCTCTAAATCACAGCTACCTGACACTTTGTTCCTGACTGTTAAAACAAACAGGTTTCTTTTCTTTCTTTAGCCGGGTCAGAAGAAAGGCCTGTGGGCTAATCTTCTGAGCCTGTTTGTCTTGGTTCAATGCCTGGAAGTAAAAGTAGAGTAGGTACCGTATCTGGTGGCTGCTAGGGAGACAGATTATCCTTGGATAATGAGGCAACCTGGGTGTGAAAAGAATCACCCTTTTGTCTTTCCTCCCTTGGCAGAGGGGAGGTGTTTGCCCTAGGTTAGGGATGGAGATTGTAGCTGGGATGGGGTAAGGGCTGAGCATGCCCCTCTTTTCTCTCTCACTTGCTTGTAGCTTCTGACCACTTAGATGTTATCGGGAATCGAACTCAAGGCCTCATGCTTGCCAGGCATGCCCTGTGCCGCTGAGCTACATCCCTGGCCCTGACCACTTGGATTTATGTCGATTTCCTACCCCTTTGTTTTTACTCAAGAAATCACTCATACCCAACAGAGGGGGACGGTGGGCAAGGAAAGGTGGACTGCCGGACAGTTTGGGATGCTGAGAAAAAAAATGAATAAATGAAGGTGACACATCAAGTTGAGCACACCCAGTCCACTCCTTTGAAGAATACTGAATAGAGTCACTGTCGGGTATGGAAACTCACTTCTATGACCCCCTGGAAACCTTTCTGTCTTCCCCAGCTCTGCAAATGGAGAAATTGCTAGTATGAGTTAATAATGTCCCCCTAGGCTATCCTGAGACAGATAACTGCCTGGAGCCAGTGAAGAACCACCAACAAAACTGACTGATGTTCTTTTCTCTCCAAAACCGAGGGCTTTAAATATCTTCTTCATTCTTATATTTCCCATTTTAAGCATTTGCATAAAGAAAGCAATGACTGTGACAGGGAATGCCATACTTTGACTTCACCTGATAAATGAACTCATTTCTTCGCCAAGTTGTTATGTTAGGCTCTGCTCAGCCGGCTTCCTTGGCTAAGCATTTTTTTTTTTTTTTTTTTAAATGGATCCCAGGAGATGAAGGCTACATTTCAAATGCTGAAGCTAAATCACTCCTTGAATTACTTTAGGACCATGACCCAGGGCAGTAATTCAAACCCTGACTGAAATGTGTGTAGCCCTTCACATGTTCAAAACTAAAGATTACCTCATCCTACAGCAGAGTTTTGCAAACATTACATTCAACCTATGGTTTAAGACATACATCTGGAGAAATCTGATATCTGATAGGAAATTCTCTTGCTTACGGCTTAAAAAGTGGGGAGGTCATTGTCACAATAAATGGAGATTATAGGCTGTCACTTTCTGTTTAAAAATATTCAAGCTTGACGTCTGTAATCTGTACGGCCATATGCATTTTCAGATATTAGCTACCTACACTCACTTTTCTCTTCATTATTCTCTGCTTCTTGACAAGTTATTGCTGATTTTCGCTGCCAGCTCCCTACAACATACCTGCAGCTTTTTCAGGGAAGAGAAAATGTCAGCAGAGTTCTCAGCCAAGCTCTGCCAAATCCCAGTTTCACTTTTTAAGATATTTCTCTACAAATGTTAAAGAAACACCACCCCCTTTCCCCAAAGCCCAGATTTTATGTGGTATGCTGATTCAAGTAAATAGTGTTTTGGGTTTTTGTGTGTGTGTTTGTGTGTGTTGGGAGATGGGAGAAAATAATACTGGTCAAGAAGTCTGGAATATTCTGCACTGAGACAGGACAGACACAACAGCTATACTCCCCAAATTATTGCAAAGCCCGCTCTGAGCAGCAGTTGATGTCTATCCAGACTTCCGGGCAGAAACAGGTGGCTTTTCCTGGTCCTTTTCCCTCCTTCCATAACATGCGCTTTCTACAGCTGCCAGTGGGGATGGTTTCGGTGCGGCAGGACCCAGAGCTGAGCTCTGAGAACGGCTTGTCTTGCCTGTCTGCCCTCGGCCCAAACAGGATAGCCAGCCGTCCGCACACAGCGCTGGCGCAAGGGTTTGCCTGAGTGGCTCCTTCCAATTCAGCCCAGCCCTCTGCAGGCCCCGAAGTGCTGACTGAGCCTCACCTGCTGGCCGGGCAGTCACTTACTGTGTGGGCGTGTGACAAGTCCCATGGGACAGCTCCACTGACTTGACAGCCAGATATGCAACCCAGTCCCATCTACTCCGCTCCCTGGGGAGGGGTTGTGTGTGACACCCTGACCTCAATTTAAAGATAGGACAAATGACACGGCCCCTGGCTGGCCTGGGCTAAATATTATACATCACACATCGTGACAGCTGCGTCGCCTAGAAACCCAATTTAGTCACCCATCTACAAGGAAGCTTAATCACGTGAGAGCATAAATGGAAAGGCATCCCTTCTAGAAATGTTTTCTTTTGTGTACAAAGTTCATTATTGCAAAGACTGTTTAGTCTACTGCTCAAAGAGGAAAATGTGCTTCAATCCCAGAAAATGCAAACTGTACTTCAACCTAGAATATAAAATAAAAAAGCAGAAACACAAACAAACAAACAAAAACCCCTGAATGCAGACATTTCCTTCAGAAATCTGATTTAAAAGGCTTCAAGTTCAAGAAAGGGGTAAATGTGTGACCAAGAACTGAGTTTTCATTCAATCTTTCCAAATCAGTTTTGTTCCCAGATGAAAGATGCCTAGTGCACTTTCAATTCTGATTTTCCTTTCTCCTCTGTACTCTGGCCATTGTCTTTCCTCATCTGCAATAAAGAATTACGCCTTGGTTCACCCCCTCCTCATCCCTGCCCGGCAGTCTTCAGGGATTCAAATTGCTGGGTGCCCTCGTATTTTGGCATGTTTTGTTTGCCTGAGAGAGGAAATCAAGGAAACTTTCTGGGCCACCCTGTTAAGTGCTCTATCCGGCAGCTTCCAGCTTTCTCTGCGTGCCGGTCACCGCACAAATGAGAATTGGCTTTCTTAAGTCAGTGCAAATTGTATTCTAGGTTACTTTAACATCCAGTAAGTTGTGGATGTGCTAAAAATAAAGTGTTAGGAAGCGGGGTACATTATTGTTTTATTTCCCAAGTTATCACACCATTCCTCAAGGAACTGTGCCATGCTAACAATCACAGCCGCCCAGATGTATTTAAATCATCAAACTATCTGGGTGGGCTGCCAAAGAGGAGAGGACACGCCTGCAGGGGGTCAGTTAGTGAGGGCTCCGTGTCCTCCCATGCCTGCCCAAAGGTTCCATCCCAGTTCAGAATATAGGGTGGCAGGGGGATGTCAGTGACCTGTACCCCCTCCTTGTCACAGAGCTCAGGACAGGCCTGTGTCTCAAGCTGGCTAGATGAAGAATGAAAGAAGTACTTCTAGAACGGGCATTTCCTTGAGATGTCTGGGATTCTTTTCACTAAGTGTGTGTGTCAAGGTCTGGTTTCAGCTCTTGTCCGTAGGAGGCTGATCGCGGCAATTACCTGGGCCTCTGCCTGAGAGCTCCTATAGAGGAGATCTGGCAGAAATGTCCTCCTGTCGCCTCGGATCCTGGGCGCACTTCACCGCCTCTGAGGACATCTGTGGTCATCTTCCTCCTGTGTCTCACGGCCCTCTACTCCCCCTCTGGGTTTGCTCCTCCTGATTCTAGAGCTACAGAGTGACGGGAAGCTCCCTTTGCTGTGCAAGCACAGTACAAATTCAACTGCTTCCCAACAGTGCAAGTTAGAGTGTGCTCTGAGGCCCCAGGAAGCAAGCGCGGGCTCTGAGGTGGCTGCCAAGGCCCAGTGATCGGGGCTGGGAAATGAGAACTCACAGCCGGAGCAAGGCCAAGGCTCCCACCGCCACCCTGGCCCTCAGGACCCTCTTGTCAGAAAGAGACGAGTGAGTGTCTGGGATATACGTGGAATAGCGGTGTTTCTCTTCTTTAGTTACAGAATTAAATAGGTGGGGGAGGAAGGGATTCCTGGCATCCGTATCTGAATCTGCAGTGGGACGGGAGAAAGTGCAGTGTAGGGCGGGCTTTGCACCAGCTGCCATGCACCCAGCCCAGCGGCCAGCGACGCAAAAGGTCTGAGGACAAGGGCACGTGGACAACCAACCAGCCGGCTGGCACCTGGGGGGGTGTGGGAGAATCCATGGGGGCACCAGCTAGTTGGCCTTCCTGGGAATGTGGCTAAGAGGTCCAAGGAAATGTTCTCAAGTTTGCCGCCAGCAAAACGGAGATTTTTGTGATTTCACAGCAATCAAGAAGTTTATGCCACTTCATACGAACAAAACAGGAAGGCAAGCGAGCAAGCAACCTGCCTAAGGTGAAGTCTCTTGCTGCCCCTTGGACCCCATCGGGGCATTAACCAACAGGAAGCGAGCGTGCCCCCATCCAACTACCCAGGACGGGCCTCACGCCACATGAAACTCCTTTCTCTTTCTCCCAGAACAACTAGCACTGATGTTTAAATATCGGTGGAACGTAGTGTTTTTAATTTCACACCTCGCAGAGCATGGTTGAATGCTTCAGAACGACGTAAACAGAAGTTTAGGCCAAGCGCTGCAGACAAATGAGGAGGGAAAGACGGCTTTCCCTGCAGTCTGTGCTCCGGGCTTGCAAAGGAATAGATAACTAACAAACTGGTCGGCTAAGGCCACAGAAATGTGTTTTCGAGTTGTTTTGGCTGCGGACACCAGCCTCTTCTGATGAAGAAGTGTTAACGCTGGATACAACAAACAGAATCACTTCCCTTGAGCCACAAAGTCAGGAAAAGCTGCAGCTTATTTCTTCTTCGACTTCTTTTTGGTGGTGTCGTAAGCTCGAACTATTTCTTCCTGAGTAACAGCTCCGTGTTCCTCTTGGGAAAAGGCATACCCATCTGCAAGAGACACAGGGGGGAGGTGAGCGGTGAGAGGATTGGGCCAGTACTCCAGGCTGAAGGTACGCCACTCCGAGGCACGGTCACTGCTGAGGGGCATGCAGTCTTGGGCGGAGCGGCCTGAGATGAAAAGGGGAGGGGAGGGTCTTGTCTGTTTTCTTCTGCCTTAACAAAATACTACCAAGTGAGAGCTTATGAACAATAAAACATATTTGGCTTATAGTACTGGAGCCCGGGCAGTCCAGGATGGAGGGGCTCTGTGTGTGAGGGCCTTTCTGTGTCAGACCCTGGTGGAACGGCAGCACAGTCCTGAGAGAGCTAAAGAACTCCTCTGGCACAGCACGAGCAGCACCTCCGTGATGTAATCACCTCTACAAGGTCCCATCCTTTCACAGGGTGACAAACGCAGTTGCGTTTCACATGAGGCTTGGAGGGGACACTCAGATCGCAGCGGGCGAGCTCACTATCTCTGGGAGACTGCGGCTGAGCCGTGTGTGGGCGGCACTGACAGAAGGTCAGCGGTCCCTGTCTCTGCCTTCCCGCTGCCAGTCAAGAGGAAACGATGCCCCCACCGGCCCGATGCTGCAGTCTGGCCCGCTAACTTACAAAGCCAGAGCAGTCAGAAAAACATACACAGTGCTAATAGTGAAAGCTGGCGAAGCTGCTGTTTCCAAATTGGACCCATTCGGACGGCTAAGTAAGTCAAGTGGGTTTATTTCCATGTAAATAAAGAGAAAGGGTCTAAGAACCGGTCCTGTGGTCACGGGAAGCCTGGTTCTTATAATCAGTTCACAAGGCGATAATAAAGTAAATCATCACTAGCGCCCTTTAAATAATGTGTGTACAAGACACTATTGCACATTTTGCTTGCAGATAGCCCATTCAATCCTCCTGGCAACTCTGAGACATGTGATACAGATGGGGAGACTGAGGCACTGACGCTGTATTTCTGTGACTTGCTCAAGGTCACAGGACGAGTGAGGGGCAGAGCTGGAAGACAAACCCAGGAGGTCTGACGCTTGGTCTGCACCCTACTGCACTGCCAGCTCCGAAAGGGATCTGGCGTTCATAAGCTCAGTGCTGGGCTTTGCTTGCAACGGCTCCTTCCCACATAGAGGACACTGGCCATATCCACTCCGTGGGCTGACCCTTCTCCTGGCGTCTGTCCCTTCAACAGAGCATGCCCACCAGCCACCGCCTGAGAAACCCCAAGCCCAGAGAGGCCACGGGGGCGGGGGCGGGGACTGCAGAGGTGGCCTGGGGTCCACTGAAGATGCAGGGAGGCGAGTTTACTATTTCTGGAGGGAGGAGGCTGAGACCTGGAGGGCCCAAGAAGGAAAGACTGTCCCTCAGTGACGGCAGAACTAGCCAAACGGGCGCCGAGAGGACAGAAGAGGGGCCTTCGCGGGAAACTTCTGTTGACCGGCTCACCTGGACTTCAGCAAAGCACACCCCACAAGCCAGGAAGTCTCCCCATGGGGCAGGAGCTTCCGGGCCAGGGTGAGCCCTCACACAGCCAATGGAGAGCGGGTGGGAGCTGCAGCCAGCCTTAAGGGGGAGGCTCTGTTTGTTCCGGCGCAGGCACAAAGCCCGGCAGAGCACCTGAACTTCCTTAAGGTGCTGTCCGTGCAGGTGGCTGTGCTTTGACTCTCACAGCTGCTCAGGATCTGCTTCTGAGCCCTGAAGAGCCAGTAGCGGCTCTCACCTCCGTTCCTATGAGAGCTTTCGGCTTCCTGCCACACTGCTTGGTGGGGATAATAAACCGTCGCTGCCAGCGGGGAGGAGCTGCTCCGCTTCCTGCCTTCCTGCGCACACCTCCCCTCCAAGCCCCACACAAGGTGCTCTTTGTGGTGCGTTCTCCCTGCAGCCCAAGAGGACCTGCCTGTCCCTGGGATGTTTCAAAGCAAAAGCCAGCAAGTAACACCGCGTCCCCGCATAACAAGGCTGTTTGCTAGGGTCAACTTGGACAATTTTCCCTCTCTGGTCTTTTAAAAGGGAACATTTTAGTAAATAGCTCATGTGTCTCCGATGGGGCCACAGAACAGCTGTTCCTGGATGGGACATGTGTGGGATCGATGGTCTTGCCTCCCACCACGGCTACAGCTGCTGCACAAGCCGGGCTCCTCAGTCTGACTGGCGTTAGTCTGACCAAGGACTGGTCTCTCCAGGCAACTCTACGTGTTCTTTATAAGCACTTCTGTGGCAGGAGAGGACTCCTGGGCTCTCCACCCTGAGGCAGCTTTCTTCCCTCACTCTGCTTCTATCTCCGACCCAGGGGCCCAAGTGCCTGAAGCACTGGGGCAGCAAAGGAAGCTCGCAGTCTCAGCGTGGTCACTACTTGGCCATGTGACCCCGGGCTCTTTGAGTTTCCTGGATCTTGGTTTAGTGTGCACTCTGAACCACCAGAGAAGAGCCCACTGAAACAGTGAAGCCATCAGAACAACTGCTACCAATCTTCCTTTGGTCACTTTTGCGGGAAGGTTTGGGTAGCGAATGAAGGAGACTTACACAGACATTAACAACAAGCATTTTAAGCTGGGTGTGGTGGCGCACGCCTGTAATCCCAGCACTCAGGAGGCTGAGCCAGGAGGACAGCCATAAATTCGAGGCCAGCCTGGGCTACAGAGTGAGCTCAAGGCCAGCCAGTACTGTACAGTAAGACCCTGTCTCAAAAATAAATAAAAATAAGCATTTTGGGGTTGTCCTTCTGGAAAAGGTATTTTAGCTGTTCCCTCACTGTTTAAATAGAGGGTACAAAAGCTTGGTTCTATTTATCCCATTTTTTTACCCATAATATGTCTGGGCCTACCGGGCACCCAATTTGAGGTATATTTTCAGCTTGTGCCTGCATGGATTCCTCAAATGGCACAAGTGGCCTCTTGCCTCCTGCCAGGAGGGCTTTGCTGTGGACCGGCGGGAGCTGACTCAGCCACTCTGGGGCAGGGGGTGGTTCCCTATCAAGATTAGTGCTTCCTTCCAGTTTTCCGCAGAAGCTGAGACCTAAAAGAGCAGATGCAGGGAGACATACAACGGCTGGCAGGAAGCTAGGCTTCCCTCCAGAGAGCAGGCAGACAGGAGCCCCTCGTCCTGCTGCATAGCCTGCTCCCAGGTGAGCAGAGGATCCCAGGGTCACTGGCAAATGTTCCTCCTGCGTTGCCATTGCTGTAGCTTCCATCGCATCCCCAAAAGTTGGGCATCAAGACTTTCTTAACCCTACTGAGGTTTCCAGTGGATTCTAAAATTCAAGGATGAATGGAAGAGGGCCTCACAGGTTTACCCTAGGAAGAGGGTGAGGTCTCTGTGGCTCATATACATATTCTCCTTTTAGAAGCCAGACCCAGTGGGAGTTAGAGCTGCAGTCTGTTTTAGTGGAACAACAAATACCAGAACCATTCAGCTGGCCCCCACCTGCTGGGCCTCAGCCCACAGCCTGACAATCACATTCCGCCTGGTGAACATTCAACCGCCATTTGCATCCGAGGGGAGCTCAGAGGAAGCCCCGGCATTTGCATTTCCCACTTCCCTCATCTTTCAGGAAGTCCTCACAGCCAGAAAGTCTTGAAGGGGGCCTGGACGATGTGTGCCATGGACCCAGCTTGTGAACTTTCCCTGGCTGGCTTCCTAAATACGCAGCCACGGCCAGAGTCTGGGGAGAGAACTGGGGAAGTCGAAGGAGACGGGAGAGCAAGTGAGCATCTCAGTTATTTTGTTTTATCTAAGCATAACACTTGGTGAGGTCCACAAAATGTCTGTTTTTATCATTATTTTGGAATAAAATTTCCCTTCTGTGGCATTCTTTGAATTTAAGCTCTGATAGCTCCTTCGTGAAAGTAGTAGTTTCCTGTCTAGACAAAGATTGCTGATACCCACAGAAATGGAGAAGACCATGGAAATAATGAGGAAATTTGACTACGGAAGGAGCATCCACCTCAGTTACAAACATTGTACGGTGGTGGCTCCTAGGAATGGTATTGGTTTTCTTCATGTCGCTATGACGACATCCTCATGGCTGTGTACTTTATAAAGAACCAAAGGCTCTCGGTTCCGGGGGTGCAAGGTGTCACACCTGGTAATGGCATTCTTGCTGGCACAAGGCACACATGGCACACATGGCAAGAGACAGGGAACTCTCCTTCTTATAAAGGCACCAGGATTATACCATGAGGCCGTCACTCTGGTCTTCCTGCGGTCCTAATCACCTCCCAAACGCCCAGCATTTAAGCGCCATAGTTGGGTCAAGTTTCTACCCTCTTAGTATCTTACAATGGGGATGAAACGTCATAAACGTTCGGGAACACCTCACACTGTATCAAATCCACAGCAGGAAGTAACAAGTACCATCAGGATTAGTGCTTCCTTCCAGTTTCCTGGAGGGCTGAGGCCTAAAACAGCAGGGGGGCAGATGCAGGGAGACATACAATGGTGGGAAGGAGCTCTGCAGGCCTTCTTGTGCCCTGGAGTTCAGGCCACTTGACGGTCTTGTCTAGTTGTTAACGACAGACCATCCTAAATTATCAGGTTATTAGACACTGAGTGTTTTTATTTTATTTATTTATTTATGTCCTGGTTTTTTTTCTGGTACCGGGAATCGAACTCATGACCTCGTGCTTGCCAGGCAAGTGCTGTGCCGCTGAGCTAAATCCCCAGCCCCGACACTGGGTGTTTTTAAAATGTGGCATGATTCGGAAGCTATGCTTTTTCTTGTATTAACTTAGTAGGTTCTTTCCCCTTTCTTTGTCTTCAAAATGTAATTTAAGAAAAACAATCGTTGCTGAAGCCATCTCTAACTGCCTGCAGAATTTCTCACTGGGCCTTTGATTTCGGTGTATACACTGCCCGTACTCTTTCCATGGTTAGCTTGAGACACTTGTGAGTGAAGGGTGTGGTTCCACAGCACGAAGGCTGTGGTCCTGAGAACCTGGCGCACACAAGGTGCTGTGCATACATCAGCAGGAAGACGCATAAGGATACAGGTTATTATAATTCTATTTTCTTTCTTGGGAGAGAAAACAGAAATTTAAAGAAATATGTAAGCACCCAAAGTTGCCCAGCATGTGGCCCAACAATAATGATGATGATAATAATAATAATAGTAACAATGATAATGATAATAACAATGCCTAACATTTATTGGACTCTTCCTATGGTCCAGCACAGTCTGCGGTACTTTATTTACATGATCTCATTTAATTTCCCCAATTACTCCAGCGAGGCTTTCATATTATTCCCTTTCTACAGATGCAGAAACAGAGATTAAATAGCTTGCCCACAGTCTCAAAGAAACTGGTAGGGCAGGGACAAGAACCTAGACAGGCGGCCCGACTCCAGACAGGGCGCCCTGCAGACTGCAGTCCTTACGGGGTCCCACCAGACCTCCTAGCTTGACCAGACCCCCGGGGCACTGGGCATCACTGGGCCGGTCACCCTCCTGACCTGGACCTCTGCTTTGTGTTTTCAGGGCTGGCGCCACCTGCCTCCGGGGTGGTAGGGCATTCAAGCACAGGCGATGTGCGCCATATGGAGACTTCACATGGGGACTGAGCAGAGGGAGTGCATTACAGGTCGGTGCCGACAGGCAACACGCTACCTTCTCTTCCCTGTTGACAGGTGGAGCTCAGCTGGCCTCCAGACAGATCCATCAATACCCGTACAATGTGTGCACAGATTTTTCATGTTCATTGAGTGCTCCTTCTACCAGGCACCTCCTCCTAAAACCCTAAGCAGGCGGTAGACAACAGGAGGAGGAGTTGCACAGCAGCACAGAGGGGATGGGCAGGGCCATAGTGGGTAGGGCCCTGGGGGCAGCAGCCAGGAGTCCATCAGTTGGGCGCTGAATGGCTGGAGTGCTAAAGAGAACCCCACAGTGCGAGGTTGTGAGTTCGATTCCCGGTACCGGAGAAAACCAACCAACCAACCAACAAACAAAAAAGAGATCCCCACAGCTGCCTGTGAGCTCCAAAGTGGGGGCTCTCGCTCTCCACCTCTCTGTGTGGGGTGGTGGGGAGAGGATAACTTGAAACAGGTCAAGGCACAGAGATTCCTCTTCCCAGGGACTGCCATTGTTTTGGGTACCATGTTAATTTTAAATAAAGGAACTCATATGCTGTCTTTGGGGGGCAGAATTTAGGAGTCATATCACTTTAGTCTTGACAAACATTCTCTTGGAGGATGTTACCATAAGGGGATTTTGTCATTCAGGTGTTTGACCCGGTCCAAGGGAACCTGCCTACATTCAAGCCACACTCGCCTGGGGTGGAATACAGGAATCCCACTCCCAGTGGGGGTCAGCACACCTGCACTCTGCAGCCGTCACCCTCCCTGCCCAGGTCTCACGCCCTGCCCGGGATGCGGAGCTACTCACGGGAGACACACTGCTGGATGGAGCCGCCACGGAAGAGGGTGGGGGGAGTCTTCCTGCTGAGCCTCTTGAGGAGGCGGTCTCGTTCATTCATCCTGAAAGAAAGCAAACAGGGTCAGGCTCCGGGGCACCCCAGAACATCGCCAAGAGTCTGGTGGATGACTTCAGGTTGTAAGATCAAACAGACAGGGTGGGGTGGGCTCCCCACGGCCAGCAAAAGGCCTGGCTGCCCAGGCAGCCCTGCTGTTTACAGTAGATGCTATCTCCCCGTTGAGTGCACAGCTGTCTTTCCAAGCTGCCCTGCTTTCAGGGCCTCCTGTCCCAAAGCCACACACTGCCTTCCCCTGCAAGGAGAGGCGCCACAGCCACCTCTTCCGCTTCCACAGTCGGCAGAACCCACAGGGACGTTTCCACAGCAAATGCCCCCAGGTCTCACCCAGCCAGCGCACCCGCAGGGACAGGCCCTGCTCCAGTGCTGCAGGGCGCTAGTGGGGGCTGCTTGTGGCTGCACAACCCAACGCTTGCTCCCATTGCTAATGAACATCTAGGTGTTCTCTTCTAAAACCCAAGGACGAGGAGCTCTCCCGCCTTTCCTGAGCATCCCCTCTGCGGCTGCTTTGAAGAAACATGGACGGAGCTATCCCAGAGGGCGGCTGGTGTTTACGGCGGTTCTCCCGGCCCCCAGGCTCCATCCTTACCCCTGCCCGTCGCCCCCGTAGTCTGGGTTTTGTTTTCTGTTTTCAGTTTCCCAGAATCAACCGCAGTGGGAAAAATTAAACAGAAAATTCCTGAAACGGACAATTCGTAGGGTTACAGCGGCCACCATTCCGAAAAAGCCATTCCACCAGTTCCTCTCATCGTGGCGGCACTGTATCATCCGCATCATCAAAAGAAGGCTGACGTAGTATAATGCGACCGGCAGACAGACCCCTTGCTATCACTTTCATCGCAGCCTGTTGTTATGATTACGCCAGTTAGTATGAATTAGTGCTGCTAGGCTCTAACTGTGCCTAATCTAGAAATTAAACCAAACAAGCATGTTTGTGTAAGGAGTGAAGAGCGCGCACAGCTTTGGTACCATCCACAGTTTCACGCGTTCTGTGGAGTCTCTGAACACATCCTTTGTGGATAAGGGGAGGACCTCTGAGCTTTCATCTCAGGATGTCATTTGCTCTCCCCTGAAAGAGGCTTCTGGTACACAGGAGTTTGCCAATGCCTTCTACTATGGGTTGAACTGTGTCCCTCAAAAATTCACACTGAGGAAATGAGGGTGTAGCTTAGCATATGTGAGGTCCTGCATATGTGTGCATGGGTACACACACACACACACACACACACACACTCACAGCTGCACACGCTGATGTCCTAACACCCAGTACATCAGAATGGGATTGTATTTGGAGAAAGAGTGTTAGAGGATTAAGGTAAAACGAGGCCATACGGGTGGGCCCTGACCGCATCTGACTGGTGTCCTTAGAAGAAAAGGAAACTGGAGTCCTTCTAGGAAAACAAGACAAGGACACAGCTGCACACGGGCCACACGAACACCCGTGGAGAAGGGCATTGACAGCCAAGGAGAGGCCTCAGGAAAACCAACCCTGTCCATGTCCATACTGTGAGAAATAAACCAATGCCGCAGAAGACCCTTTGTTATGGCAGCCAGAGCATCCGGCTCTGACCCCCAATTTCCTTCGTAGAAAGTGAGGGCACCCACGGGCCTGGAGTTTGAGGAGACCCTTCCCTGGCCAAGCCCCTTCCTCTCTCTCCCAAGGGCCTTCAAGAGAGGAGGGGTCCTGGGTGTTCCTGGGCTGATTTGTTATGGACGGAACATCTAAAGACAACATTTGCTGACTGCCTTGGCTGAAATGCCACATACTTCGTCACCGGCGAAGGGTGCTCCCCAGCCAGCTCGCTTGGCAGAGTATCTGCAGGCTAAGGGGGAGGATACTTTTTCTGTCACTTCACACGGCTTTCCCTCCCCCCTCACTTGTGCCTTCGTCTGCGGGCCAAATGAATCTCACCGGGGCCAGGTGAGCAGCTGCCTGCACTGCAGAGCGAGGTAGGTCCCTAAGAATACACCTGCTCCTCTGTGTAGCTTCTGTCCTCGACTGTCAGCAGCTCCCAGGCTGGGCTCAGGAGGTAGCTAGGGTGACAGAGGGCCTGTCCTCCGTTGCATCTCACCCACCACTGGCACGAGTCCTGGACAGGGCGTACTGAAGTCACCACTGGTTGCCAGTGCGGTCTTGCCAACTAGGACGTGTGTGGGCATAAAGGATGTCTGACCTCCTCTCCCTAGAACCCGGGGTGACATACGGCCAGGCCACACCCCTCCTCCATCCTTGCCTTCCCAGAAGTTCCTCCTGGTGATGTGGCTTGTAAGTGTCACAAACCACAGCAGCGGGAGGGATCTTTGAAATCCCACCACTGAGTCTCTCACTGGGCAGGTGAGCAGAAAGAGACGGGGCCACACCAAAAAACCTGGCCAAGGGCACACTGCACTTTGCTGGTGGGACTCCTGGCACAGTTTCTATTACATAATTCCCTTATGGAATGGCAAGTGCTTTTTTTTTTTCTGTACCAGGAATCAAACTCAGGACCTTGTGCTTGCCAGGAAGGCGCTTGGGTCGCTGAATTATATCCCCAGCCCTGGCATTTGCTTTTTCTTCTTTCTCTGTTTCTAGTGAAATAGAATTTAAAAATCTGCCTCTGTGCCTCTGAGGGACATACTCCGTGCCAGGGCCCTTTTCATCCTTGTGGGGAGGGGTCTGGAGGGCCAAGAAGATGTGCCGGCCATGGTTCACGGCGCCCCACACCCCAGGTACTGGGACCTTCCTAGCACCTGCTGAGTGACCACTAAAGCTGCATCCAAGGCTAACGTGACTTCCTCCCGAGCTCTGCCCCTAGAAGTAGACCATACAGCCAGTGTGCACACCCCGGGCCTTCGGGGCTGGCCAAGGGGTGCTCCTGGCACTGGGGTACGGGCAGACCTACACACAGACGTGCGTGGGCAAGTCCCAAGTACAGAATGGAGCCGAGGCCGGGAGGGGGCTCTGGCTCTACTGTCCGAGCGGCTGGGAGACACAGCGCCGCAGTCTTCATGCAGGGCTCATCAGCTGGGCACAGAACTATGCATCATTTACTGGCCGGGAAAGTAACTTTCACAGCTTGGATTTGACACTGTTATGCCAAGACCTGTCTTCCACCAAGACCCTCTTCTACACTCTTATATGGGGACCTGCAGACATCCGGAGTGGGCCTGGCTGTGTTAATGGCTGCACTTCATTTGCTCTGTCGTGGGCTTTTGGTGTGGGGACTGGATCCATGCCTTGCCGTGCTAAGCTCAGGCTCTACCACTGAGTTACATGCTGGCTCCTTACTTCAGATTTTAACAAAACAATAAACACTCGAGTACAAAGAATCCTACCGCTCCTCCCAGCTCTCATCCTCTCCCCTCTATAAACAGGCTTAGAAACAACCTTCCTGCTCATACTTTGTTTGTGTGCTATGTACCTGTTTATATGTATTCATAATTAATACACAATTGGGTTCTAAAATACTTATGCATGGTATCACTTATTTCATACTTGCTATTTATCATGCTTCTGCTTGTTCTTTTCTCCTCTTCTCTTATTATGTCTACTGGTTTAGAGGGAACTTTATCAGCTGTTTTAGTGGTCACTTTTAAGTTTCTAACCTGTTGACAAGGTCAAATGCCAGAAAATAATTTAGGTCACCTCTTGAATAGTAGGAGGATTTTATGGAGGGTGGGACACGGGTCAGTGCCAGAGCACAGGTCCAGTATGCACAAGACTAGGCCTGGGTTTGAGCCCCAGTACTGCAAAAAAGTAAACATTAACAAAAATCCAAACTCTCGCCAGGCGTAGTGGGGCACTGCCTGTAATCCCAGCCACTTGGAAAGCTAAGGTGGGAGAAGCACAAGTTAGAGGCTGGCCTGAGCAATTTAGGAAGCCCCGTCTCAGACTGAAAAATGAAAAAAAGGGGTAGGTATAGTTCCCCACTCTAGGGGTTTGACGCCCAGCATAAAACAAAAAAAGAGCCTTTAGAATCTCCGATTCTTTTCCCTAAGTCTTCGCGTTCAGCACTGAAGCTTACTTAATCTGAGTGCCGCGCGGCTCAGGTAAGCTGTCTGTTCCTCCTGGTTGCTTTACAGCAATTCTGCTAGCCTTTGATGTTCTGCAGTTCTGCAGTAACATAGCATGACGAGGTACAGACACATTTTTTACATCCTGCTGCGCAGGCCTAGAAAGCTACAGTAACTTGCAGGTTTACCTTTTCTCCTGACAGAACTTTGAAAACTGCCTATCCCTCATTCTCTAGTTTTGCTTGTTCTAGAGCTTCTATTTTATATATACATATATATATATATATATATATATATATATATATATCCATCTCTGCATCTATACCTCTGTTTGTCCATCTCTATGTATCTTTCAGATCCTTAAATTTTCCCGTACTTATCTAAACTTCTTGAATTGTACAATGTGTTTTAAATTACTACATTTTCCATGTCTATATTGTTTCTCAGTGTTCAAAGCACAAGAGACAAAAGAAAGACAAGTCAGGCTTCATTGAGAACTTCTAAACTGAGTACAGTGGTATGCGTCTGTAGTCCCACCTATTCTGGAGGTTCAGACAGGAGTATCACTTGATCCTAGGAGTCTGAGGTTTGCCCATGCAACATAGTGAGATTCCTTTCTCCAAAAAGAAAACATAATAAAAGGGTTTGTGCATCAAAGGATATTATCAAGAAAGTGAGAATATCACCACAAAGTGGAAAAAAATTGCAAGTTACATTTGATAAGGGTCTAGTATCTAGAATATGCAAATACCCATACAACTGGGTAGCAAAAAGATAAACAATCTATTTTATAAAATGGAGAAAGGACTTGAAAAGACATTTTTACAAAGAAAGTACACTACAGCCAATAAGCTCAGAAAAAGATATTTAACATTTTAGTCACTGGGGAAATACAAACCCAAACCACAATGAGATACTATCTCACGTCTCCTAAAATGGCTACGTAAACACCAAAATAAAAATAACTCAGAAAAGAGCACGTGTTGGAAAGGA